CTTAAGTAATACCCTTCACCCACCTGTGTCGATACCATTGAAGAAGTCATCGATAGCTGTATTTTCCTCAGCAGTCAAATCTTTATTGTCTTTATGTGATTCCGAAGTCTCTCCAAAAACTTTTTCTTTTTTAGCATTTGAGCTTTCTATGTCGGCTACCGTCGCAGCGATTTTTTCAGTGCTTTTTTCCGAGTTCTTATCCTTCTTTTTCTTGGAAATGGGTTTGCTTAAGCCTTCGCCAACGAAATGGTCCTCTCCTAAGCTATCTTTGGCTTGGGCCCGAACGGTGAACGGTTGTTCGTCATTGGTCCCTTTCGGATTTCCAAAGACTGGCAAGTCTTCTAGACTTTCTTTTCTTTCGCTTGCACTTAGTGCTTCACTTTCGTCATCAACTGTTTTCGTTTCGTCAATGCTTATTTTATCAATGACAATTTGCTCAGGTGTACCAACGACTACTGCATTGGGTATAGCACTGAACTTATCAACTTTAACCGGGTTATTGGGGATACGCTCCCCGATTATGATTGTTCCGGAGCTCACTTCTGTCTTTGTCGAATTTTCTCCAGTGAAGCTTCCATTTCCATTTTCGGAAACATCGAGATAGTCATCAGTCGAAGAGATTATCATTCCTTCTTGTTCAATTTCCGTTCTATTGATTTCTGCAATGTTGGGCACTGATTCCGGCTTCTTAGTGGGTAAATCGAAATCTTCATCTGCAAATGTTTGTTGTGCGAAAGAATAGCAGTCTACTTCGTTTATCTACTTTACGCTTTACCTGCTTCTGCCGGATCCTCTGTTGTTGTGAAATCGTTTTGATCTTCTGTAGGCGACAGTTTCGGGAATGCGGGTGCATGAACGTCTGGTGGTAAAGGATCAACAGGTGGTGCCTAAAAAGCAAGTTTGCAATTCGCAAACAATTTAAAGAAATTCAAAAGGCTCGGACATCATAGTCATCATCGTTTTCAGATAGGCCGGAAGGAGGGGGTTGTGGACCACTTGTCAATGGCTCTGGTACGGCTACATCTCCGCCTTTGATTATAGGATCTTCTGTAAAATTCAACTTTAGTTTGATTTGAATGAGCTTAATACTATGTCAAGTTTTACTTGAACATGAAGTCTTTGGATTCGAGTAAAATAGAAGTTTCACTAAGCTGAAACAGTGTTCACTACATTCGATTGACAAGGGAAAATTACAAATGTTATGGTTAGCAAAAGTTTCCCTTTTCCTTGACGTTTGGATTGCACAATTCGATAAGAATATTTTATGAAATAGGACACAAACAAGCTGAAATAGCATGGCTTACCTGCGTAGGTTAAGGCTAAAGTCAGAAGGAACACAGCTAAGCGCATTTTGCTGTAGTTGTAAACGTGTTGCTAATTTCTGAAGTCAATTGCTTCTAGGAAAATCCTGAAAATCACAGAACTCGATGGAAGAAATAAATAATATGATTTGATGTATTCGCAAGGTAGCTACAACAGGGAATTGGGTTTGGAAAAGTGAGCCATGGATGAATATTGAGAAAAAGACTGAACAAAGTCAAAAAAAGAAGACTTTTAGGTAATTTTGAAGCTTTCTTTCTGCAGCAGATAGAACAACCAGTTTCAATTCACCAAAAACAACCATCTTTCATTTTCATCTTTCATATTGGAAGAGTTGTATTAGGCTTTTATGAGCTACATCTGTCATTTTTCTTGAACAGCAGAGAGATCCCAACATTCTAAAAAGCACATTGAATCTTGATAAGCAAATGAATAAAAGTGACACGTAAAGTTGCAGTTCGAACAGCTTAGGGATCTTAGTATGCACGGATTTACGTTGCGGAGAAACATTCTCGCGATTAGGCTCTTCTTGATGAATTTCGAAGATAGACTTACAGCTACACCACAACCAGTTTGCAAATCTTAACGACCTCGTAAGCGACATAAAATTCGAAATTATACAACATGGCAGCTAATCTTGCTCAATGCTAGCTAGTTGGTCTGAA